ACTGAGGCAGGCAGGTAACACAGGATACACAAGAAGATGCATCTGCTGCTGCAGCACAGATATACGCAGACACTACACTACTGCTGCTGCTGCTGCTGCTGCTGCTGCTGCTGCTGCTGCTTTGTTATACCCTTGGTGATGTGTGTAGCTACCAATGCACATAATACAACGCGGAAAGAACAGGCAGCAGGTCACTTGCTGCAGCTGCTGCTGCAGCTGCTGCTGCAACAGCAGCTGCACCAGCTGCAGCAGCAGCCGCAGCAGCGGCAACAGCAGCTGGAGCAGCAGCAGATGCTCAGCTGCTGCAGCTGCTGCAGCTATACATCTCTCTTGCTGAAGATGTATGAGCTTCTGATGACTTTGGGGTGTACATACACCTGAGCTGAGTGTTTTATTTAATTTCTGTTTGTTTATCTGTTTCCTTTCTTTATCATGCAGACAAGGAGAAGGGAATTAGTTTTGTAATATGCCTTCACTCTTAGTCGTTGTTAATCTACGGCTAGCCAGCTAGCTAGGTAGCTAGCTAGCCAGCTAGCGCGGTAGCTAGCTAGCCAGCTAGCTCGGTAGCTAGCTAGCCAGCTAGCGCGGTAGATAGCTAGCCAGCTAGCTCGGTAGCTAGCTAGCCAGATAGCAGCCTGACTAGCTACCCAGATAGCTACGAGCCTTTCTAGATAGCTACCTACCTAGATGGGTGGCTAGCTAGCCAGCTAGCTGGCTAGCTAGCTAGCTAGCTAGCTAGATGTGCTAGCTAGCTAGCTAGCTAGCTAGATGGGTAGCTAGCCAGCTAGCTAGCTGGGTAGGGGCCTAGCGGCCAACAAGTCGGTTGGAGCTGTTCGCGGAATAGTATTTGTTTATATGGGGACAGAATGAAGCAGTGCTAGTTGTTTATTTTTTGTTTATTTTTTTGTTTATTCTTTTGTTTATTTTTTTGTTTTTTTGTTGTTTGTTTGTTGTTTATTCGTTGTTTATATACAAAAAACAATAAAAGTAAAATAAAAAAATATTTTGTTAGAGACAAAAACACGGAACAAGAAATTCATTTATAGCCGCATGCAGTGCTGAGGTGTACATACACCACAGACGGCGGAGAAGCAGCACGACTTGCAGAGGCTGTAGCAGCAGCTAGAGCAGCAGCAGCAGCAGCAGCAGCAGCAGCAGCTGTAGCAGCATGCGGATGCTACCCATATGAAGGTAGCAGCAGAGTCAACAAACAGCCCCCCCAACAGCTGCAGCAGCATCTCCAGCAGCAGCTGCGCTTGCTGCTGCTACTGTATCCGCATTTGTTGCTGCTGCTGCTGCTGCATCAGTATTTGCTGCTGCTGCTGCTGCTGCGTCAGCAGTTGCTGCTGCTGCTGCTGCTGCATCAACATTTGCTGCTGCTGTCATAACCTCCTGCACCTGGCGATCAGCTGCCTCCCAAGAGAGGACGCCGCCCGCAGCACCTGCTGCTGCAGGCTGTTGCTGCTGCTGCTGCTGCTGTTGCTGTTGTTGCTGCTGCTGTTGCTGCTGTTGCTGCTGTTGCTGCTGCTGCTGCAGGCCCTCTGTCGGCCTATGGGGGGAGCCCCCACCCACCACGTGCGTAGCGCCTGCCCGCGAGGCAGCAGGACTGCATGCACCGCAGCAGCAGCAGCAGCAGCAGCAACAGCAACAGCAGCAGCAGTTAAGCAGCAGCAGCACCAGCAGCAAGATGAAGCAGCAACATCAGAAAGTACAGCAGTAGAGGAGCAGCAGAAGCAGCAGCAGTAATGGCGCTCAAGCAGCAGCACCGCCAGCAGCAGAAACATTGTTGAACCAACGCGAGCAGCAGCAGCAGCAGCAGCAGCAGCAGCAGTAGAGCTAGCAGCAGCAGCAGCAGCAGCACTAGAACTAGCAACTGCAGCAGCAGCAGCAGTAGTAGCAGTAGTACTAGTCAAGCAGCAGCAACTATTTTTGCTGCGAAGCAGCCCTAGCAGCAGCAACAGAAGCAGCAGCGGCAGCAGCACCACCACCACCAACAGCAGCAGCAGCAGCAGCAGCAGCAGCAGCAGCAGCAGCAGAAGTGTTTCTCGCATCTCCTCACCGCCACCCAATCCAGGTGTACAGGGCCTTTGTCTTCCGCTGTCTCAGCAGCAAAAGCTGCTGCTCTGCTGCTGCAGCAGCAGAAGAAACGGATGCCCCCCAAGGCATATCA